CGGCTTTAGACATGCCTGGACATGCCCTGGCATGCCCTGACCCCCACCTGCTATTCCCCCCCTGTAGGACCCCCAGATTGGGGTACCCTACGTTCTCGGGAGGTTGCACCCCAATAACTCAGTCCTCAAATCAGGAGATGCAACAAGCATGAGGATTTATTGGAGTTTTGCAAAATGGACTCCCACCTCACTCGGAGGACAGAAGTCCAGAGCCCAGTTCACAGGTTTTTTTTAAAGACAAGCGGCAGCTATGTGCCAAGCAGAAAAGCGGTGGCTATGTGCCAAGCAGAGGTAGGGGGAATTTCTGGGATGATTTCCAACTTGGGCAGAGGAGCATGAAAAAGGTCACCTCAGCTTGTTCTTAGCATTCAGAATTATTTTTCATTTTTACTTCCTTGTACAGTTTTTCTCAGGCCTGGGGGATTTTAGTTTAAATCTATTATTCTGGGGGCTTTGGATCCATCACAACAACAACAAAGAAAGCAAAGGGGGTGCATGGAATGGGCAGTGAATGCCCTAAGTGCAAGCCACCACTGCTCTGGACTCAAGAATTTTAGTTCTGCAGGAACCAGAACTAAAATTTCTACCTGTATCAGTATATGCAGTAGCAAATACACTTAAATTATTCTGTTTCTCATATTGTAGTGTTTGTGGCAATTAAATTTACCATTTGTTCTGGAATTTTTGGAGGAGAAAAGGTAAGGAACCAGAGGGAGACCAGATACCACCCAGAGAGTCTATATTTGGAGACAGATATATTAACTGATGAAGCCACTAGGGCTTGGATGGGTTTTATTTTTTGAGACAAAAATCTCATTCTGTAGCCCAGGCTACATGCTGGAACTCAGCATGTAGCCCAGGTTGGCCTTAATGGACATATTCCTGCCTCAGCTTCCTGAGTGCTGGGACTACAGGCATATGCCAGCATACTGGGCTTTAGGACCTGAATGTGTTTTTGTTTTGTTTTGTCTCTTTGAGACAGGGTCTCTTTGTAGCCCCAGCTGGCCTGGTACTCACTATGTAGACCAGGTTGGCCTTCAACTCACAGAGATCCACCTGCCTCAGCCTCCTGAGTGCTGGGATTAAAGGCATGTACCACAATGCCCAGCTAGGGCCTGAATGTTTGTGTCCCACAAGGTTTAGGTGTTGAAACTAATCCCAAGGAGACAGTGTAAAGAGTTGGAAGCCTTTCAGAAGTGACTGGATCATGAGGGTGGAGCCCTTGGGAGGGAGATTAGTGTCTAATGGAGGTGAGAAGGCTGTTGCTGCTCCCTGTGTGGGTACAGTTGAGGAGGTGCTGTTCATGAAGGTGGGTCCTCACCAGACACAGAATCGTCTAGCACCTTGATTTTGGACTTCCCAGCTTCTACAATAATGACAAACATCAGTTGTTTAGAAGCCACCCAGTTTGTGATTCTTCGTGCCAGCTGCCTGAACAAATGAAGACAGAGGCCTTGTGTGTTTTCTGTGGAGAGGAATGCTACATTTAACTAATGTAGTGGTATGAACTTGCTATCTCAGTACCAGGAGTTCAAGACCAGCGATTCTAGACAGCTTTCTATTGCTGTGATAAAAACAGTGACTGAAACCAACCTGAGGTGGAAAGGGTTTATTCGGCTTATAACTCAATCTATCATCAAGGGAAGCCAAGGCAGGAACTCAGGGCAGGAACTTGGAGCACAGACCATGGAGGACCACTGCTTGCCAGCTTGCTCCCCTGGCCGGTGCTCAGTCTGCTTTCTTGTACAATACAGGACCACTTGCCCAAGGGTGGCACTGCCCACAGTGGGCTGGGCGCTCCCATATCACTCAACAATCAAGAAAATGCCTCACAGACATGGCCACAGGCCAATCCAATGGAGAAAATTCCTCTACCCAGGTGTGTCAAGTAGACAACTAAAGCTGTCCAGCACACCAGCCTATGTAACAAAGTGAGACCCCATCTCAAAACAGCAACAACAAGCCAGGTGTGGTGGCACTGTCTGTAATCCCAACATGGGGGTTGAGGCAGTAGGATTCCTGTGAATTCAAGACAACCTTGGGCTACATTGAGTACTAGGACAGTCTGGGTTACAGAGATGCCCTACATAAAAACAAAACATGAAAACAGTGTTTGTGCTGGGCATGATGGAGCATGCCTATAATCCCAGTACTTAGGAGGTAGAAGCAGACAGATCTCTGTGAATTCAAAGCCAGCCTACATAGAGAGATCCAGGCTAGCCAGGGTTATACATTCTCCAAAAGCAAGACAAAGTAAACAAGCAAACACCCCCATCCCACACACCCACCCCACACCCCCATCCCACACCCCCATCCCCCAGCATTTTATTTTTCTTTTTTTAGACAAATATTTTATTATTATTTCTATTTTATGTATATGAGTATACTGCTTGCATGTATGTAAGTACACCCATGTCATGTGTGCAGTGTCCACAGAGGTCAGAAGAGGGTGTCAGATCCCTTGGTACTGTAATTACAGACAGCGAACAGACAGAACTTATTCCTGAAAGTTGTCCTCTGACCTCCACATGCATATCATGGTGCACATGCAACACACACACACACACACACACACACACTATAATACACACACAGACACAGACACACACATGCACACACAGACACATACAGACACAGATGCATGCACGCACGCACACACACACACAATAAGGTTGAAAAGCAATTGAGAGAGACATTCAGTGTTGATCTCTGACTTTCACACACATGTGCACCCCACTCCACACGAGCCTGCAGGAGACATTTCATATTTAAACTATAACAGCATTCAAAATGGACAAGAAGATTCAGTAGGTCAAAGTAAGACAGTTTATTCCACCAACACAGCAAACAGCAGAACGCTAGCAGATCAGTGCCAGTTGTCCTGCCCCAAGCTACACAATGGGACCAAACAAGGGCCATACCTGCCTAGGCTGTACTGTGGCTGAGAGCCCAGAGCTAAGGGCTCAGCATCTTTGACAGCAAACAGTAACCAAACAAGTTCTCTCCCAAGAAGAGAATTAAGTAATAAGGTAATCACTCTATGTCACCTTGACCTCCTTCATTGTCTATATGACTAGCTACAAAAAGAGCTTACGGCCAGAGGACTTGAAAGTTGGCATGCTTAGCAAGGGTATATATGGATTCTCAAAGCCCATGGAAGTTGACTGTGTTGGTTTATGTTTGTAATCCCAGCACTTTTGAAGTTTAGGCAGGAGGCTCATTACTTGAAGACCCTGCCTCAAAATAAAAAAATGTAGAGCCGACATGGAGAATCATGCCTTTAATCCCAATACCTGGGAGAGGCAGATGTTCAAAGGTCTACAAGAAGAGTTCCAGGCCAGCCAGGTACTGGAAACTGAACCCAGGTCCTCTGCAAAAGCAGCCAGTGCTAAACCATCTCCCCAGCCCCCCACCCCCATTACTTTTTTTTTTTTAACAAAGGCAGTTTGAGCTTTCCCCTCTGCACTGGCTTTCTTGGCTTGGCTCAGGTGCTTTAGAATTTCAGCTGGTAGCAGCTTTCTTAATTTTCCAAGAAATAAGCTACAAATTTCTAGCCAGTCCTTCCCTCAGCCTCCCAGAGCCTCCCCATATCACAACCTGCCACAACCAGGACTTGAGGACTCACTTGGAAGTTTATTGGTGGAAGTGCAAGAGCACCGTGGTATAAGCACCATCACATCTCTCCTATGGTCACTTGGCTCACTGCGGGAAGCAGCATTGTAGGAGGCATAGAAAGTACACACAGGCCAAGACTGACATCCCATTCTGGTGTCAGGGTCCCAAAAAGTTCTTTTCTAAGGAGCTAGCTACAGGAGCCTGCAAGAAGTTCTCATTTGGGTCCTCTTGTTCCCAGAGGCTGTGGAGCAAGGTGGCTCTCATGGGTATATTGATTGGAGATGCCACCAGCGAGGGTGACTTGTAGCTGTTGTGGTTGTCTGCTTCAGTAGTGGTGTCAGTTTGCCTGTGGGTGTCCAGGAGTGTCCAGGTCATAGAAGACAACAGAAGAGAAAGAAAACATTGTTAAAATCTACTTTCAAAACCATTTGCTAGTTGGGCATTGGTAGGGCACACCTTTAGTCTCAGCAAAGGAAGGCAAAGGCAGGTGAATCTGTGAGATCGAGGTCAACCTGGTCATCATAGCAAGTTTCAGGCCAGTTGGGGCTACAGGGAGACCCTGTATAAAAAAAAAATCAAGAAAATAGACAAAAATAAAACATTTTCTGTCTCTTCCATCATGACTTCCTTGGATACAGATAGAAATATAGATGGAAATGAAGGGAAGTAGCAATGTATACACATGGTATGATGCATCTAACAGTGATCAAAGGAGAGGGCCAGGAGGGAGGCTGGGGCTGAGGCCTGTCCTGCTGATGGGATCAGACACCAGGCAACGCCTCAGTGTATTGAGAGCCTAGTGTGTTGTGATGCAAAACCCAATCTGGACCCACTGGGAACTGCTTGGTGCCCATTGTATCCTGCCAGGTGCTGGTACCACCTACGTGCCAAAACAGCTCTCTAAAACAAAGAAATTGTTTAAAAATCACAACCACCAAGTAACTAGAAAATGTGTGTGTTTAAAAACTTCTTAAAAAATCAAACGAGAGATGGATGATTATTTTATTTTTTGCTTTAAATTTTTTTCAATTTATTTTTATTTTTAATTATGTGTATATGTGTGTGTCCATGTGTGGGTATGTGACCGTGAGTGCAGGTGACCACAGCAGCCAGAGGTGTCGGATCCACTAGGAGCTGGAATGCAGGTGGTTATGAGATGCCTAACATGGTTGCTGGAATTAAACTCAGGTCCCGAGAGCAGTACACGCTTCTAACACTGAGTCATCTCTCCAGCCCATATGCGTTATTTTATTTTATTTTTGCTTTTTTGAGACAGGGTCTCCCTGTAGCCCCAGCTGGCCTGGAACTTGCTATGTAGACCAGGTTGGCCTCCATCTCACACAGATCCACCTGCCTGTGCCTTCTGAATGCTGGGTTTAAAGACATGCACCATCACGTCTGGCTATATGTGTTTTGTTGGGGACCCCTGCTGTTTAGGGTAGCAGTCTCCCCATGTCCAGATAGCCACAAGCTGGCTTGGCGCAAATGGGGAGACTCCCCTTCTCAGCGGGGGCGCCTTCTGCTCTCCTCCCTGACTTGCTTTTGAAATGCCCGTCACAAGATACATGCCCTCCGGCACACGAGCTACCAGGTTTTAATCAGGTGTTGTCTGATAGCCTGATAGAAGCCCACCGCCCTATGTAAATGAAGCATTCCAGGAGTACCTATCAGCTAAGGCTTCTTCTACTATCTCCACACTATAAATAGTCCTAGTTTTACCCCAATAAAGCTGGAGCTGGAGCTGAATCACTGAGATCTGAGCTGAGTCACTTGTCTGAAGCTGTAACACTAAATCCTGTGATCCAGTCTCCCCAGGAGGGCTATCCTTCCGTCATCGACTCACGAAGACCCTGCTTTCACCGTTTCTCGCACCTCCCCTCGTGACCTGGTGGCCAACAGGTCTCGAACTTAGAGAGAGAGAGCATGGTGGAAATTGAAACGGAACCTGACCGGGCAGCTGACAGCAGTCCTAGAGCCACCAGCTCCGGTAGCAGAGACCCACGGCAATGCGGTGCATGAAACCCACGCACCCCAGCGGTGGAGAGCCAGGGGCCCGAATAGCAGACGCGGCCCACGGGACCCGCTGCACTCCAGCGACGTGTGGGAGACCGGCGCCACGCCCAGCAGCTGGCACCCCGAGATCCCCACACGCCCATATCTGGTGCCCAACATGGGGCCTCTGAACCTCATGCCAGCCAGCAGCTGGTACCCTCGGAAACGCAGAATTCGTGAGTACCTCTCCCACCAGGAGAGAAGCAAAAATCTCTTCTAATTTCCTCCTTTTGTTTCCGTTCTAAAAGTCTTCGCGTGGGACCGCTAAGGACAGAGAGACAACTGAGGCTTCCTGGTCAGGGCTACTCCCTGATGTTAGCTAAAGG